GATGGATGGATGGATGGATGCATGGATGCATGGTGTGTGCATGGATGGATAGATGAATGGATGGGTAGATGGATGGATGCATGCATGGATGGATGCATGGATGCATGGATGCATGGATGCATGGATGGATGGGTGGATGGATGGATGGATGGATGGATGGATGAATAGATGGATGGATGCATGCATGGATGGATGGATGCATGGGTGTGTGCATGGATGGATGGATGGATGGATGAATAGATGAATGGATGGATGGATGGATGGATGGATGGATGGATCCATAGGTGGGTGTTGAGTGGGTGGATGTGTAACACCAAAACCCAAAAAGTGTTGACTGGAACTGATATATGGAACTCCTGACTTCTCCTTAGTGCTCCTTCCCCACACTCTGTGGTTTCCGTCTTGGGCTGAATGGGGATAGAGATGGAACAGAGTAGTGCCTTGGGAGAGTCAGGCACCTCCAGATACTATTTCTGGTTCTATAGCCTTCCAAATATACAGAAGATTTTAGAAACCACTTCTCTCTGCACTCTCTGATCCATCTAAGAAATAGATGATGCCTCCTACCTGGCAGGTTCTTGTGAAGACTTAACGAGACAGAGTATGAAGCTCCCAATGGAGGGTAGCTATTACTGAGCAAGGGATCATATTCATTTTACAATCACATACATAAAGGTATAGCCCAAAACTGGATCTGCAATTTTTGTCAGCTCCCTTCTTCACCAGGTAAGCCATCTCTCCAGAAAATCTTTCTTGGTCTCTCTCAACTCCTTGACACAGTGGGGCCAACAATTTGAGTCTTTCATGCTCCTCTGTGCAGGTTTGGTGCCAACATCCACCAAATGCTCAGCACCAGTGATGAACCAGGCAGACCACACTGATGCAGAGAATTGGGAAGCAATAGGGCTCTCTCCCTATTGGGATCAGAGACACTTAGCTCTGAGGTAGGGTTGCCAGATAAAATATAGAATGTACAGCTAATTTTAGATAAACGGCAGATGATTTCTGCCCCAGTATTTTTCTGTTCAATTATATATTTATACTAAAATATATAAAGTATATTTTAATACAAAATATATATTTTATAAAAGTTATGTGTGTAGCTTGAATTTATCTGAAATTCGAGTCTAACTAGACACCCTGAATTTTATTTGTCCAGCATGGAAGTGAATACTGGGCGTACAGCCTAGCAGGGAAGAGAAGATGGAAGGCAACACAGTGTAGGGAAGAAGACAGGGGAAGGGAGAGGCCATCATTACCCTAGTCACAAGCGGCCCTCAATCGACAAATGCTTGTGTGGCACATTCTGTGTGCTGGACATTGTGCTCAGCCCTGGGGCACTTTGGTGAACATGCCCTGGGACCTGCTATTGAGACAGATGCTCCCAGCAGGCACATGGAGATGCTGCCAGTCTTGTGGGGAGGTGCCACGCAGCAATTAGTCCACAAGTGGCTAATTACAGGTGCCTTCAAGGGACAACACGGAGATCCAAGCCAGCCCCCAGTGGCTCTAACCTAGCATGGGTTGGGGTCAGTGCTTTCCTCTGAACTTGCTCCATGCTCAGACATAAATTTGCCTGCCCCGGTGCTCCGCAGCGCACCTACACAACTGAGATGGGCGTGGGGTGCCCTCAGCTGCCCAGACCACATGACTTTGAACTCTCAGACCTGTAGTCACCCACTGTGCTTTATTACTCTGCCAGCCTGCCCAGTTCCAGCCACCCCATGACCCCCAGCTTTCCCCACCAGCCTTAGGGAACAGCCTGGCATATTCCTCTGGCTGCCCATTGCCTGGGTTCCTGCCTCCTCTCGACACCTCTGTGGGCAGAGGCCCCAGCAGCCTTAGTTGTTTCTGATCAAGCTGTGTCCCATCCCAGCTGCGGTCAAAACTCCCCCAGGGGCTGCCGTCTGCCTCTGCTGGTTTGGGAGACTTCCAAGTTCCATTCATTCATTCATTCATCCATCGGTGGCGTAAAGTTTTTGATCCACCATGACAGTCATGGGAGCCACTACTGACGCAGTTTCTGGCGTACAAGGGAGTGTTTGAAGGAAAATAACCCAGAGCTGGCTTGCAGGAAATAAGGGCAACTGACGTGCCTGCGGTGTGCTGCCAGCAGATAAGGAGGCACACAGACGCTTTCTCCCCTGGTGCCACACGCAAGAAGCCCTCCCGGGACACGCAAGCTTCCCTTCACCAACCAGAGGAGCTGCGAACGCCAGGGCATGGTGCCCCAACAACATCCCTTGGGCGTAAGACAAAGAGGCAGTTTGCACTGTGCCTCATCATTCAGGGGAGGAAAGGATCTTCGGTGCTCATGACAACTGCACGGTGGGGAGGTGACATCCTCAGGAATCAGCATCCATTACGCAGCCAGTGTGGAGCAGATAGACATTTCTTGGGGACACTCTCCTGCATCCCTCCTGTCCCTTCTCTAGTTCTGAGATGCTTCTGTTAACTTCACTCTCATCCCTAAAGGATCAGACCCCTTTTGATGCATGAGACAGAAAACAGTAAGAAAAACACTAAACCGTTTGCTTACATAAACCAGGAGAAAGAAAAAGAAAGAAATGAGCCTGAAACGGGGAGTTGATTTTAGGTTAGAGAGTTCAGGAGGTCTGCTCCAAGCAGATCTTGGCTGGACTGTCACTCCCCCGTGGAGAGGTGCTCCCCGACCCTCCACCTGACACGGAGCCCCTGCCACCTACAAGCTGCCGTGGCATTCTGTGATGACTCATGTATTGGCATAACAGTGTTAGTCTTTGTCTCTCTACCAGACTGTAGGAAACTCCTCAGGGTAACACAAATATCCCCATTGCCTGGCACTGGCTATTCACAAAATAACATGTTAAATGTCTAAAAACTTGGGCCAGAGTATAGGGAATGTTCCATCCTGCTTTTATGTTATAACATTATACGGCAGACCATTTTCCTAGGTCGATGAATGGCTTTGAACATATTTTAATGGATTCCTGGTGTTCCACTGTGTAGATATATCTTCGTTTAGCCCAATTTCAACAGACATGGAGGGCGGATATCTCCTTGTCTGCCAAGCATCCGCATATGTGGTTGAAATAAGCCATTTAGCTTGATATTTGGACAAATGACCCCTTGAATTAGAGCTGTGTCCACAAGACTAGGCCTTGGCCATGGACTATATCCTTCACAGGCATGAGCCCACAGATGCCACAGCAAAGAGGCAAGGACGGTCCCCCAAATGACGATCTAAACCCCAGCACAGGTGTCCAGACTCTTTTCCTTTCTGCCAAACATTGAAAGAATAGGAGCTGTCTTAGGCCACACTGTAAATACACCAACGAGCAAAAGAAAAGGTCCATGCATACTTTTTGATCCAAGACCACAGATAAGCAAAGCAGTACTCAAATAATCTGCACTTGGCCCATGGGCCACAGGTTGGACACCCCTGGAAAAGAACTACTTCTCCTTTTGTCTGATTACAAAACTGGAGCCTGCATCATGCTCAGATGTGTCCTCTGTTCCACATTGGTAATCACTTTCTTTCCACACAGGATGCTGAGCCACAGGTGGCATCTGAGCTCTGCATAAGAATTCAGGGCAGGTCTCTCACTCAACAATCACCAGCCACGTCTGACCTTGGCCACCAGCCACGTCTGACCTTGGCCTTTGCCCGTGATGACACCTGGCAAGGCATCTGTCAGCGCTCCTTCACTGCTCTCTAAATCAATCCCTCCTCACTGAGCCCCTTCCACTAGTGGGTCCCAACTCGGGAAGAGGGCTGCTCTCCAGGGTCCCAGCAATTTGGGCTCTGAGCTCTGTGAGCTGAGACAGGGACCACACATGGGTGGTCCTTATGCATTATCATATCAGGCTTTGCTGTCAGACAGATGTGGCTTCCTCTCCCAGCACTGGGCAGCCTCAGAACCTCTCTGAGCCTTGATTTCTCCATCTGAAGAACAGGTGCAGTGAGCATCCTTACCCCACAGCACGGCAACAGGTGTGCTGAGACCTGACACAGGCACACGGCAGTGCACAGTGACTCCCACCAGTATCTTGGGCCCAGCTCCTAAGCCCTCACCTGGCATGGAGTCAGGGCCCAGCAAAGACTTCACGGATCAGCACACAGACAAATGAACCAGTCAGCGTAGTCACAACAGGCCACGTCTCTCTCTACGACAGTTGGTTACAGTCAGTCTGCAGAGCCAAATGCTTTGTTTGCCTTGGCTGGCTTCGTTCCCACTACACTGACAGTTTGTTTGAGTCTCCTGGAGACCGTCTGACAGTCTGTGAGCCCCTGGATTCCTGTGCCCATCAATCAGATTGCTCAGTTTCCAGGCTGAGATGCTCTTCAGACAGAACAACGAGAGATGGACAAGGAGCAATCTAAGGTCAGAGAGAGCAGGGCCCGGCACTGTCCCGCCAGACCTTGGGCTACTGTTCTGGCTTTGACTTAGGGAGCAGCTGTGAGAGACTAGATGTGAAGTTTTGTGTTCTAGGAGTTTCAGGACTCTGCTGAGTCCATCAAAGTCTCATCCTGAACTTGGGTGCCCAGTGCTGTGAAGAGGGACCAGGCGTGTTTGAACCCAGGAGTTAAGTTACTCAGAGCAGCAGTGACCCAGGTGATATTCGAATGGCCAAGGACTGAACAGCATTAAGACCTCACATGACACTTCATGAAAGGCAAAAGGGTGGCACAGGGGCCAAAAGGGAGGGTTTGAGGTCAGCAGTATGTGGACTCAGACCCCCTGGCACGTCCTCGCTGTGTAACTGTGGGCACATTAGCAATGTCCCTGAGCCTTCACTTGCTCATCAGTAAAATGGAAACAATAACACTGCCCTCCACACAGGGCATGAAGATTAGTAAGACAGTGAGTGCAGAGTGCTCAGCACAGTGGGATGATGACGGAGATGGTGACAATGACAATGACAATGGAAGTCAGAGAGGAGAGAGAGGGGAGGGAGAGGCCAGGGAGGTGATGAAGGGGAGGTGAGATGATGGCCATGTTGGTGGAGACAGGGGAGGGGAGAATGGCAGGCCAAGTGGGGGCAGGGTGCCGGAGAGACACGTCTTCATCCTCCTGTAGTCCTGTATCATGCCGGGAAGAGCCATTCAGCCAGTTTCCTCAGGGGGCTGAGAGATTCCCCTAGCAGAACTGGGGAGTACCCAAATGACAATGATCATGTTTTTCACTTTCTTCCCTTTAGAACCGCTGGTTGCCAGGACAGAGGGGAGGGGACAGATGCTGGGTAGATCAAGTGCACAGCCAGCCTGTGTTGCTCTCTGCAGGGGCTGCGGTCACACTGACATTCCCACACCATGGGGTCTCTACGTGGGATAACATGGGAGCCATTCTCCACCTTGCAAGGAGCAGGTTCCCTCCCTCAGACACGGTGTCACCGGGCACAGGGCACCTTGCCAAACGTGGCATATCCACCATCTTCCCTTATCCTCACCAAGGAGCTGCTTCTGGAACACACTAGAGGTGTGGGGTTCCCTTTCTCATACAAAGCTCTCACTCCTAAGCCACCAACCAGGAGGTGTGGGATTGTCACCAGAGCCCTGTGCTCTGTCACCATCCCCCACGACCCCAGTCAGGATGTGCAGACTCATTTCCCTCGAGGAGGAGGGGCTGTGCAGCAAGGAGAAACCACACAAGCTGCTTGGGATCAACCCCCGGACCTCAGCCTCAGCGACCGCACCCAAGCCCTGGCCCTGCAGGTGGACCTTATGAGAATCTGCTTTGAACACAGAAAGAAAATAAGCAAAACAGTCACATCTGATAGGCTTGGCATTCCAAAATCTGTAAACTCACTTCCTGGTTCTCAGAATTTCTGGGACAGGGCAGGCAAGGAGACTAAGGGAGGAAGAGGAAGAATATTTACTTTGATCTCTTCAGTTTCTGGACTCTGTCGCACTCTCCCACCTACCCTGAGCTGCAGGCCTCATACGGGTCTGACACAGGAGGAAACTGAGGCAGCAGAGTTAACTCCAGTAGGTGGTGGGCAGAGCCTGCTTCTCCACGCTGGGGCATGAGTCACCACTCCCCGGCAATAAGCAGGGACTAGTCACACACCAGCTGTGACCCCGACAGTCCCAAAGCCAGAGACACAACATGCTACAAGTGACAAGAAGCGCCGTGCACACCTGTTCCTTCCCCTACTCCCATCTCAGCTGCTGGGGCTGAATCTAGGGGGACAGAGGAGAGGAAGCAGGACACACCGAGGACACCTTGCAGCTGGCAGTACCATTTCTGTTCTCACAGCATTCTATCTATTTTGCTGCTTTTGGAACCTACGTTCTAGCTTTTCTTTCTTTCTTTCTTTATTTTTTTTTTTGAGACAGAGTTACTCTGTCCCTCTCAGTAGAGTGCCATGGTGTCACAGCTCACAGCAACCTCCAACTCCTGGGCTTAAGCAATTCTCTTGCCTCAGCCTCCCAAACGGCTGGGACTACAGGTGCCCACCACAACACCCAGCTATTTTTTTTTTGTTGCAGTTGTCATTGTTGTTTAGCTGGTTCGAACCTGTCAGCCTCGGTGTATATGACTGGTGCTGTAACCACTGTGCTACAGGCGTCAAACCTCTAGCTTTTCTTATTACATTCCTTTACCAAGTGTGGCATCTCCTGGACAAAAAAAATAGGCCTAGCCCTCATAAAACACAAATTCATCTGCGTCTTTCTCTCCCTAACCAGCAGGGAGCGGACCCCACCCAGATGGCACACTTTCCCTTCCCGCCAACAGGCTCCTGGTTACTAACCTGCCACCAACAGCTGCTTCTGCCAAGCCAAACCCAGGCCCAGCGGGAGATGCACCCACCGGCACCCAGGGAAGGTGAGTACAGGAAGGGGCAGGAAGCCAAGGTGGGGGGGGTACTCACCGGGCATCGGTGCACCAGCCAGTACGCCTTCTCCTGGCAGTCCAGAGCGTACCTGTCTGCTTTGTTCCTCTCCTTTCCAGCCCTGAAAAGCCAAAAGCTGTGTTTACGGCCAGGAATCCTTTGCATCATTGATGAGTGATGGCCGTTCCTGGTGACCTGGACCATTCTCCCAACATACATTGTAATAACAGCAAACCCAGCAAACAGTGACGTCACATGATGAGCCAGGCCCCGCCCTGGCTATTTCACCTGTAGTAACTCCTTTAGCCCAATTTAATCCTTCCAGTGAACTTCTCTCACTTCTCAGCTTAGGGAACTGAAGGAAAGAGGAGCTGCAGGCCCAGCCAGGGCCATACCGGCAGCAGGTGGCAGAGTGTGGCTTATGCCAGGGGGTCTGGCTCCCCCACCACACTGTGCGGCCACGGTTGGCTCTGGGACCAGATCAGCTTCTCCCACTTCGCCACTGGAGAAGAGCGCCGATGCCCTTCTGGGCCGACATCTGAGCACCTGGCTTTTTAACTTTTTCCTGACTTGGTGAACTAGTTGGGGAAGATGCTGGCCTCAGGACATCCTCTTTTCTCCCTACCTGTCAATTCCAACCTCTTACTCCAAACAGTTCATGCCAAGTTACCACTGTAAAAGGTTATTCACTTTCTCTCAGTCTCCCCCGTTCTCTTTCTGGATAGGGAGTGATGCTGCAGTAACGAGGTTATGCTGATTGTCACACCACAGCCCCGTTCTGCGCCATTTCCACGGCGACCTGCATGCACACTCCTTAATGCTTGTTTTCCCAGGCAGCGTGGGATGACGCACACGCCCTCCGCGTGACAGAGCTGGCGGATTTATCTCCCGTTAATGTACTGTGAATAACATAATAATACCTAGAGATCCAGATGGGAGAACAGCGCCATTCCAGCGGGGTGTTTCGCCAACCTCCTCTGGAAATTAAATATAAATGCTGTCGCTTGAACTTCCCCTTGCCAACCTAACTGGATTTTCTACCAGCCCACGTCTTCAGGAGCAGGGTCCATGGTCTGCCTGAGGCACTGAGGAGTGTCTATGATACTGGACAGCCTCAGACAGAGTCAACCCCCAATTTACCCTGCAGGTCCTTTCCAGCTTTGCTATGCTTTTATCAGAGGACAGTCATGATAAGTGGACTCTAAAGAGAGCCAGTAAATTAGGAATTACTTCAGTTCATCATATTATGAACTTTTTTAGCAATAGCATTTGCTTAATCATTCATTCATTCATTCACAAATTATTGATCTTCTCCTATGTTCCAGGCACCAAGAGTCTACCGGTGAACCAGCCCTGGTCCCTGCCTTTGAGAACCTTGTGAACATTATACAAATAGTAAAAAAAAAATCAATACAGAATTGCAAACTGCAGTCTGTGCTATAAGAAGCCCTTGGGGCACTATAATATAGAATCGGGGATGGCCTCTGCGGTGGTTTTTAAATATGTTTACAATTCGTTAACATTCTCTCCACTGACAGAGGTCTATGTCCTCTCCCCTTGAAGCTGGTGGGGTTTTGTGATGTTTTCGACCAACATAGGATATCAGACATGGCACTGTGTAATTCCTGAAGCTGGGCCATAAAACGGGATAGTTGTCACCCTCCTCACTGGAATATGTGCTCTTGAAACCTCCAACCTCTGGTAGTCAAATCTGACTGACCCGAGGCCACCATACTGGGAGGAAGTTCAAGCTAGACCAGGTAGAGAGCAAGGGACACCAGGCAGCCCCCACCTGTCCCAGGTCCCCAGCTCCAGCAACCTCTCAAGAGATTCTGAGTTGGTGTTGCTCAGCCAAGTCCTTCCTGAACTCCTCACCTATGGAAATCATGATAGATACCAAATAATAGTTGTTTTGAGTCACTAAGTTTGGGGTGATCTGAGTGCAGTAATAGGTCATCAGAAAAGCCTCCTTGAGGAAGTAACGTTCCTCAAGGAGGAACATGGGCGTTCCCTCTGATAGCTTAGAGAGTCCAGTCTCATGATCCTATTTGTGTTTCAAACATGGGTGCAAAATGGGAGCAGAGAGGCCAGTTGGGCAGACACTGCCAGCTGACAATGAGGTTGGTTTGATCAGGGTAGGGGAATAATGGAGGCAGCCAGGAGTCCCATTGAGTGGAAGGGATTTTGCCAGACCTGACAACAGGACATTGGGTATGGCTGGAGACGGAGGTGGATGGTGGTTCTTTGTATTGATGTGGGTAATCATGAAGGAAGAAACTGGAGAGTGAGGGGAAGATGCATTCAAACATGGACCAGTTGGAGGTGTGACTCCAGCATGAGCAGGGTCTGGAACTCAGAAGAAGGAGCTCGGTATAACAAAATGACTACCTTATGGGCCAAACTAGATGGCCAGCATCATTTTATGAGGCCCTAAATCTGAACTCGGAGGCAGACTTTGAGTTTAGCCTTGGAAAGCCAGCGCCTCAGGAGAGAGCCTTTTAGGAACCGCTTACCCCAAAGCACCTAGGAAAGGAGGAGGGGAATGTCCTGTGATCTGGGCAGCACAGAACTTTATCCCAGCTGAGGCTGTGGCCAGGTGGTGGGCCTATGGGACCACTGAGAACAGCTCTGAGCCATGAGAACTCCTAGAGCTCCCTGAAAAGCATATATCAGGGTCCATGGTCCTGTGGGCTGCTGGGACCGTCCTGCTCAGAGCAGAAAGTCAGGGGGGAAATGGAGGCACTGGCAGGGAGGGACACTTCTTGCTCATCTCTGTGTCCCTGGGGTCCAGCCAGTGCTGGAACCCATTAGCACCTCAAAACTGCTGCAGTAAAACTTGGTCAATAATGTACACCAAGCTCTGCCACTATCTTACCTAATGACCTTGGCCAAGTGATTCTAACCTCTCTAAGCCTCAGTTGTCACCACTGGGAGAGGTGACAATGACCACTACTGTAAGCATTTCTCCCCCACTGACATAAAATGAGACAGTACCCAAGAGGTCACCAAAAGAAGTCTTATAAACAAACAGACATAAGTGACAAAAGATTAGAAAGCTACACCTGTGTTGCTCTGTCCCAGACATGCCCAGGCAGAAACATGAGAGTGGCTAATGAGCAGTGGCAGCTCTCCAACTGATGGGCCACATGAGTCTAAATTCTACAGATATACTGGACCCTTTACTTCCCCTAGACTGGCTCTCTCATGTGACGGTTCTCATCACTACTCCAATTCCTTGGCCACTCCAGAAAATCACTCTCCACCACTCAGCCCAGCCAGACACCTGCAAGCCCAGACCTTTCAGGATCCAGCCCCGCTAAGGGAGAATGAGGCTGGGCCAGTGGGAATGGCCCCTTCTGGTATTCATTGGTGCTGGTCACCAGATATTCCCGCCTCCTCTGCTTCTTCTTGGGCACATGGTAAGATTGTACCTTCCCACCCACTACCCTCTGGAGTTGGGCATAACCATAGGGCTTGCTTTATGAGTTATAAGCACAAGAGATGGTGTCACTTTGATCCACACAGGCTCTCCCTCCCCCTGCTATAGGAATAGCCAAAGCGCAGGTGGATGTCAGGACCCCAGGTGAGGTGAGCCACAGTGGACACAGAACACAAGCACGAAAGCAGAATCTTAGTGGTTTCCAGCCCCTGAGAATTCAAGGCTGTTGGTTATGACAACCTAACTCATCCTGACAAAAATACTCTCCCCACCATTCACTGTCCCCCATATGTATAGCCGGCTCTCACTGATAGGCCGAGGCCTCAAGGGGATGCTCGGCTCCAGTTCTGACCTGCATAACAGACAAATGTGAGCAATGGGTGATTCTCACATGCAAAACCAATTACTATCTATCCCTCCCCTGTTTAAAAATCTTTCTGTGGCTCCCCAGGGCCCCTTAGCACAAAGCCCTCTTGAGATCTGCTCTTGTGTACATCTCTAGTTGGAATCTTGCTAACTTCCATCACATCCACACTTTGCACACTTGGCTGTAGCCACAGGAACAGCTCACAGTGGGTACTCTCCCAGCTCCAGGTTCTGGTTCTAACCACCTAGATCACCCTTCCTCCCACCACACCTCTCCTCTATATCCATCCACCATCCCCCTCCCTCACCTGACACCCCTATGCAACCATGTTAGGGCCATTCTACAGACAGCTCCACTGCAATCCCACCACACGGCCCTCCCCTTATGGCAGCACCATGGCCTATTCGCTCATCTGCCTGACCCATGAAACTGTCTTTTTATTTCCTATGTGCAGCCCAGTGTTTGGCACATAAATGTCCAAGAAAGGGTTATTTAATTATAGGAAACAAAGAAGGAAGGGAGGGAAAGGGGACCACCAGAGAACAGGTGGGATATCCTCTCACTCACTTGTACTGCTCTTTGGCCTGCATAATGACGAAGTCCCACTTGTAGTTCATTTTTTTGTTCAAGAAATCATAATTTTCCTAGAGAAGAAAAACAGAATATGGACAGTGAGCCCTAAGGCATATGCCATGTGATGCAGGGCAAAAAGCCCTGAGTCAACAAGAACATGCCCCGGGCCCATCGCAACCACAGACAGACCCAGCCTAACGGTGGACCCCACTTCACAACAGTGTCCACTCACAGAGATTTCACAATAAGTCTTATTTTTCTTGATATTTCATTTTTTTAAATCAATATATCCCAAATCTGATTAGGAAGAGAGGATCGGGAATGAGGAAGAATATGCAAACTCAATATTCAACAATGGAACATCACAAATCTGCAAAGCTTAAGCCCTAACACCAATGTGATCTTGGCCCTTCTAAAAACATGTCTGTAAGGAATAAAAACACAGCAAGATTGTTACCCTCTCCCCAGAAATTCTAGTCTTTTGAGGGTTAGAGTGTATTTGGGGGGAAATCTGGTTTACCCAGCCTAAAACAAAAGTCTGAAGGGTACTATTATTTTCCCACCATAAACTCAGATTCAAATCTGTTAACCAAGGGTGGTCCATGATAATACATATTGATCAAGTCATCTTGTTTGGGGATAACACAAAAGAACAAATAAATGGATGGATGGATGGATGGATGGATGGCCGAGTGGATAGATGAATGGATGGGCAGGTGGATGATAAAGTAGCATATTAATGTAATTGTGTGGGGAAGACAGAAAAAATATCTCAATACTACATTCTATTCAGTTATAATAACCTCTATCTGAAAACACCTCTGTACCTTTTCATAGTCTTCTAAAATCCCTTTCTTCTTGATATTTCGCTTGGCCAGATAGATGGCTGCAAAAGAAAGTAGTGACATTTTCCATCACCATCAAGTTTCAAAACCCCATCTGCAGCTCCCTGTGCTGGAGGCTGCCATGCTCAGAGTGGCAGGGAAAACATCCAGCCCTCCCTGTCCTTTCCCCTGGGACACACCCAGTACTGATGTGAACTGACGTAAAGGCCATGATGACAGCAAGACAAATGTCACCAAAATGCAGCAAGTAAATTAGCAACACATAAAGCACTACCCAAGGCATAGATGGGGATGGGGTAGTTACCATAATCTGTGTCTTCAGCTGGCCACTGCTGGGTGGGCCAGAAATAGGGCGTCTGCAAAAAAAAAAACATGAGAAACCATGCTTTAATACGGGGTTGCAACCCCATGCATCCACCCTATCCCATCATTAAAGAGATAAAACTACCTTAGCCCTCTCCACCATTCCTAAGGTCCTGATCTGTTAAGATATGAAGCCAACCAATTTTTTTTTTCTTTCTGCTCTGTCACCAGCCTAGAGGGCAGTGGTATGATTATAGCTCACTGCAGCCTCACACTCCTGGGCTCAAGCTTCCCGCTTCACGGGGTTACTGGTGAAAACCACTGCCCCAGTTTCTTTCCAAGTGAAATCAACCCTACATTAATACCCAAGGCCAAGACTCACCTGAAAACGGTAGAGGCTGTTGTCAGGTTTGAGAATGAGATTCTTGGGGTCTTGCAGGGGGTAAATGTAGCCATACTTGACAATGAAGTTGCCCAAGTTCTGAGCCTCTAGGGAGAAGCAGTTCAAACACAGATGTGAAGAGCCAGGCCAAGGGCAGAAGCTCAGCGCCTTGCCCCACATGGCACCCCAAACTCATGGAGCGATGTCCCTATCCTAACAGTGCTGCATCTGAGGAGTGAGGACAGTGGCTCCTGAACTTGGCTGTGGACTAGTATCAGCTGGGACACACACCAAAGGAGGACTTCCCTGGTCCTGGCCTCAGAAATGATGGCTCTGTAAGTGTAGGTAGGAGTCAGGGAAGCCGAGAGATAACAGGTCCCGCAGGTGGCCTGCTGCACATGGTTGGGGGCAACAGTGGGGAAAGCCCTGGAAAAGCTTCTCTAGGCCCTGTGGATCTGGAAGACGTCACAGGATCAGGAAGAAAATGTTTCTGTTGGACAAATGGACATTTTCTCACTCAAAAAATGAGGGGCCACGTCCTTACTTACCAACTTCTATCCCTTCCACATCTCAGCTCTGCCTGCCCCCCCGCCCCCCAAGCTTCCTCTCCTTCACACATTGCTTGAATTCCCACCCTATTTGGTTTATTTGGAAGCACAGCCTTGTTTCTGAATCTGCTTCAAACTTTCCTGGTTCTATCTCAGAGGCACTCACAAAAGCAGGTGTCTCTACACCCTCTGGAGGGAATCCCACCCCTCCAGTCCTGCAGAGACCTAACCCACATCCCACCCCAGAGCTTGACCTCTGTCCGAGGCGTGGGTTCCTCCTCTTTGTCAAGTGCCACCCTCTGTGACAGACCAGACCTTCTGTTTTCATGCCTCATTGTACCAACAACCTTTTTCCTCATGTTATTCCTTCAGCTCTAATCCATCGTTCCAACTGTCTCCAGACATTCTAGCTTAATCATGGTGATCATACACACTGCCACGCTCAAAACTTGCCTGTGGCTTCCCACAGCCTATACCCCAGACAAAACCTGGACTCAGCAAACATGCCCAGTGGACGTCTACCCCTCCACTGCCCTCCATGTCCAGCTGAAACCATGACTTGCCCGGTCCCTTCCATTTCCTGTTCACTCCATCCCAACACCATCGCTCTTGCTAGACCCTCAGAACTGCCCATCACCATCTCACCCTCATCAATCATATCTGCTAGTCCAGCACCCCTCCAAAAGGTCTTTCTCAATTAGGTCCTCCCCAATTGCCCCCATTATTTACATGCTCTCAATAATTTGTATAAAAGAACTCTTTTGTTCCCTAAGCATCCTGTCTTTGTTGATTCGCACAGGAAAGTTGTGTCTCTCCAATTAAAATGTAAGCTTCTCAGAGATATGGGCTAAGCCTCCGCCCAGTTTCCCCCATGGTGATGAGCACACAGCCATCCTCTGTGACTGAGTGTGGGACAAGCTCTCACCCACACTGGAGATCCAAAGCCGCTGGACAATCCATTGCAGAACGTCACTTCCTGCAAAACAGAGAAGTCTTTGGTCATTGCCATGGTCTCCTGACACCCCCCAGTCCTCCTGCTGTTGTCAACTTGTGTCCTTCCTGCCCAGCTGTGATCTTGTCCCTCTTATGCCCAAGACCTTCAAGGAAACTGCCCCCCCCCCATGTTGTGTTCAGTTCAGACTCTGCAGCCTGTGACTCAGCCTGTCCATGCTGACTCAGCCCGTCTGCAGCTTCCTGAAACCCATGCACGCTCAGTCTTTCCTTGTTCTGCTTATTATCTTTCAGAGCACAATCATTGGTGGGTGGACTGTCATTCATTAATGGGGCAGTAAACAGACTCCGTCTAAACACTGAAAACAAAACCAGATGCAAGGCCAGCTGTTTATGGGACTCTGGACACACAGGAGTAAAACACAGCCAGGCCTGGGATAAGGGGGAGAGGCTGCAGGCAGGGGCCAGCTCTCCTGCACCCCTCAGTCCTAGGAGAACTCCAAGGAACCTGAAAATTCTCAATTCTAATCTGGCCCTCCACATTGTAGGTAAGGTACCTCTGTCAAAAATAGGAAGACAAGACCTATCTTAGAAAGACTTTGTAGGTTGATTTGGAACTCTGGACAATGGAACATGGATACCATTTGTACTCTTGCCCTGGGCCCTGTGAATCTTAGAGGCTGTCTTGAGAAGTACACAGAGTGAAGGCTGGCATGAAAAAGAAGCAGGAGAGGTGGGCAGGACCAAGGTCAGGATTCAGATTATCTAGGGGCCAAGGCGAGCCAAGTTCTGCCAACAAGCCCAGAGCTGCTGCAGGACCCCACGGAAGCTCTGAGCCCCCTGCTCAGCTTAGGCACTCTGCCCTAAGCAGACAATGTGCCTTTTAGGAGAAGGGCAGCAGCATCACAGAAGGAAGATAAGGTGCCCTTGAACCAAGCACCCAACTCAGATGCCATCTGGCAAACGCCAATGACCACATTTTCCAGCAACCTCGGCCTGCTTTCCAAAGGCCAAGCTGGGTCCCTGCTGGGGTGAGAACTGGCCCACAAAACATGCCAAGAAAGAGGGTTTGGGATGGAGACCCTGGGTCTGTATCCTAGTAACTGGACAGTCAAAAATGATCCTTCCTTCCTTGTTTCCTTGAACGGCCACTCACATGCTCTCTGAGCCTAGTTAACTATCCACAGCTACGGCTGGGCTGGACAACCAGTGACTCTTCCCTTCAGAAGTGACTTCGACTGATTCTCTTTTCTGTTGCCCTTAGCATTATTCACCCCCGTTGGCTGTTCAGAGGCAACGTTCTTCATTTAAAATCCTACGACTGGGTATTGAGACTTTCCACAAGTCTCTCTTCAAACGATACAGGGCAGTGTGCAGAGAAACAGACCCAGACAGACGTCAGACTGATGAGCTCTTTCCAGCACAGAGCCGGAGCCGAGGGCTTTCTCACCCACTTGACTGCTTCCCGAAATAGACTAAATGAGATTATGGTGCCACCGGCATCCATCCCATGTGGTCTGTGCTGGCAGCGCAGCAGGAGGCTCAGGCTCCCACGTCAGCCACCTTTGTCCCCAGGAAGCCCCAGGTCACCTGCCATCTGAGAACTGGATGGAGATTTGCTTCTATTACAGGTGCTGATGCTGCAGGACCAGCACTTCTCCCTGTGTCCTGTTTCTACAGCGCTGGGATTTGCCCGGGCAGCAGAAATAAGGGAAAACGTGGCAGGGTGGGTGGCTCGCCCCCACCAGGGACGAGGTGCCCTGGACGTGCAGGGAAGCAGGGAAGCATGCACACACTGACGGTGACAGAAGGGTGGGCCCTGGGGTCACACCTCTGAGCTCACGTCCAAGCTCACTTGTGAATAAACTCAGTGAGTGATGACAAGTTACAGACCCTCTTTGCTTCTCCATGGCCCACCTGCAAAAACAGGATGGTCGTGTCTACCTTTAACTTCACTGTGGGTGCTGACAGGCCCAGCACAGGAGGGTGCCAGCCGTGGCCACCCACCCTTGGTTGCTACATGCTGACACCAGCACTGAATTCCTCCAATCATTCTCTTAGACAAGGATTGCAACTCCTGCTTTAAAAATGAGAAAACTTAGAATATGGCCACACAACTAGAAAAAGCCACCTGAATCCTGGTGCAGTGGCTCGTGCCTATAATCCCAGCACTTTGGGAGGTCAGGATGGAAGGATTGCTTGAAGCCAGGAGTTCAAGACCAGCCTGGGCAAGAAAGTGAGACTCTGTCTCTACCAAAGTAAGAAAAATTAGCCTGGTGTGGTGGTGCACTACTCTAGTTCCAGCTACTAGGGAGATGAAGTAAGAAGACTGCTTGAGCCCAGGAGTTCAAGGTTGCAGTGAACTGTGATTGAGTCATTGTACTCCAGTCTGGACAGAGTAAGAACAGTATAAGAAAAGAGAGAGAGAGAAGAGAAGAGAAGAGAGAAGGAGAGAGGGAGGGAGAGAGAGAAAGGGAAAGGAAGCAAGGAAGGAAGGGAGGTAGGTAGGGGGAAAGAGAGAGAGAGAAAGAAAGAAGGGGGGAAAGAGGAAGGAAGGAAGGAAGGAAGGGAGGGAGGGAGGGAGGGAGGGAGGAAGGAAAAAGGAAAGGGGCGGTGCCTGTGGCTCAGTGGGTAAGGTGCCAGCCCCATATACAGGAGATGGTGGGTTCAAACCCAGCCCCAGTCAAAAAAAAAGGAAAGGAGAAAGGGAATAAGAAAGAAAAAGGCATCTGAAGACTTCAATCCAATGTTCTTTGCACAATGCCAGGCCAGGACTCCATAAAGCAAGCATTCCATAACCTTCTATTAACCATCCTCTACGAACACAGTTGTGTTAAGCATTGGGGTTACCCAGGGAAGTGAGATAAGATGCCACCACCTCTTTAAGGGCCTCCAGTCTTGTAGCCAGAATGAATGACAACCAGGATAGGGCAGGGGGCAGGGGGCAGGGATGCCTTCAAGAAGAATTGCTACAGCTTCACCTTCAGTGATGTGCTGAGCAACGGCACCCTGAAAATCTGCCTCTCAGTCCAACTCTTGGGGTGCTCATAGCTACTCTGGTCCCCAACTTTTCCCAAGTCTGTCCCATCAGTTTCCTTTTCTTTTGTGAGCTGCCCCATAGCATTCCAATTAATTCCCGTTCAGCTCCAACAAGCCAGAGGGGATCTTCTGTTGCTTGTGTGCAAGGAAGCCTGGGCAGTACGCTGTGGTGGGGCTCCCTCTCTTGCCAGCAGTCAGAAAGGGGAAGGGGAGGCACTGGCTGCAGTGGCTCTGCAAAAACTAGGTGCTTTGAGAGAAAAATCAGCAGTCAGGTCAGGGTGGGGTAGAAAGGGAAGGCTCCAGCCAAGCATGGCAGAGTAGTGTGGCCCTGGCTTGGGTTTGGAAGCCACAGGCCACGTGCCTTGGTAGGAAACATACTCTTAACTGCAGAACCAAGGTCACAAAACAAGGACAACACATTAACCAAAATGTACTCCCCTTTTAGAGTCCTGTGGCTCCTGCCAATATCCCCAAACTGTACTCTGCAGACACTCTGCCTCTGGCACAGAGGAGACAGTGGTGCCATCCCCTTGGGTGGCTAAGGAGGGCCCAGATATGAATAGAAGGTAAGGAGAGGAGCAGCCAGACGGAGGCCAACTTTTTTCTGTCAATTTTTTTTTCCTGCTACCTGATTTCATTGAAGCTAAATAAAATAAGCAAACAAAAAAGGACCTCCCGAGAGGAACGGCTTCAAGAAGTGACCTATTGAGTTGTTTTTTTGTTTTTTCTTTCTTTCTGACTCTTTTATCTGGAGAAGATTGTGTGTTCCAGGAATCATTGAGCTTATTTTATAAAGGGCTGAATAGTAAATATTTCAGCTTTGTGGGCCATAACACGGTCTCTGCACAGCTATACAGTTTAACTCTGTCATCGTAGTGTAAAAGCAGCTGGAGACGATGTGTGAACGAGTGGGTGTGGGTATTCTGATAACACTCCGTTTGCGCCGACCCCTTTGTGGGGTCTGCTCCAGCCCAAGGCTAAGCCACGAGATACATCACCTGTCATGGCATGAGGGACACTGGTGACCAGGACCCTCTGGTTCTGCATCCGGACCCCCGTTTCCGGGTTCTGCATATCCTTCACGAGTGTTTCAATCTGTAAGACAGAACAGGAGAAGCCGGCTGACCAGAACCATTTCCGGAAGCTGGCTGCGGCCCCTCCCACAGCACTGAGAGGGACCCAAAGACACAAAGGTGGGTGCAGGGGCTCGTGACCTGCTGAGGAGCCAGAGGGGCCTTGAATAACCACAATGCATGCAGGAGTGGGTGTGTGTGACCCGCAGACGCTGACACCTTCCCCGCCCGGAGGGCTCCCAGAGGGCCCTTCTCACTGGGAGACTTGGGGAGGGCTTTGAGAGATGACGGGGTGTAACAGAAAGGATTGTGCTGGACAGAAAGTGAGAGAACAGCGCAAGAAAAGGAAGAGAGGGGAAGAGACAGTGGGAGGTGATGCCGAACAGCAGGCCTTGGAAGCCACTCCTGGGGTACGGCTTTTCCAGTGGCTATTCCGGGAGAGAGGTTTGGGGGTGTGAAGGAATTTGGTGAGACAGGAAGCAAAGGACAGGGCCCCTCCCTCCGTGTATTCAAAAGAGCAGCCGGATGAGGCTTGCCGTGACTTTCTAATACAGTCCAACCTCCACAGCTGACCACGTCCTTACACTGACCGCCTCCTTTTGTTGACCTAATTCTCACAGGCCAGACACGCATTACACGTACATATCAGTACAGTAGGCCCAGTTCTTTATGTTAACTACCTCCATATGTTGACCAGTTTGTTACAGCCCCTTGGGTGGTCAATATACACAGGCTCTACTGTGTATCACACCACCGCTTGGCCACTTCATTACAAGGCCCCTTTCATTCAGAGTAAGCGACAAAGGGCCCCCACTGGTCTACACGGTGGGAACCTCCCTCCTGGACTTCTCTCCTACCACTCCCCTCTGGCTCCCTCCAATCCAGCTGTGTTGGCTGCCTTGCTGCCCCTGATCGTGACAAGCACACTCCCAGCCTACTTCAGGGCCCATGCTCTGGCTGATCCCTCTGCCTGAAAGCATCCTTCCGAAAGATCTACATGGCTCTCCTCCTCCTTATAGCTTTGGGAGGGTCCCCCTGACCATCCTGCTTAAAGCTCCAGCCTGAAGTCCACTGTTGGCCCTCTTGACACCCTGCTCACTTTTTCTATTCTCACTCCTAGAAAATAGGCTCTTTAAGGGTGAGTCTGTTGTTCCTCGTCATCTTCTCAAGGCCTAGGAAAGAGCCTGGAACATGGGTAGAAATCAATGAATAGCCATTGCGTGAGTTAATAAATGAGGGCAGGGGCTGAGCCCTGGAAGGGCAAAAATTAACTGAATTTGCAAGTGACCAGGTAGGTCAGGGAGGGTGGTGACAGAAATGACTGTCCCAGGGTGAGAAGAGACAAGGGTCAGAAATATGAATTAGAAAGTGATGGATGTCAAAGAGAGAGTTAAAGCCAAAAAGGATCGATGAACTGTCCAGGGAAGGCTGAGCTGCAGGGAGACAGCCCCCAGCACAGCCCTGATTGTATTAGAGTTGTTTTTCTTCATATTGTTAAAAAATAATTTTCTACTTGAAAAAAAAATTAAATGGAAATAAAATCCAGTTGGATATTATAAAACCAACTGGATGTTTGACACTGTTCAAAAAGAAAACCCAGGGGTTTCTCTTATCGTTCGGTATTTGCCACTGACATTGATAAAGCCTAAGGTCCAGAGGTTTCAAACTTCATGTTCCCCAGAAAAGCACCTATTAACGGGGAAACCATCGACTCCTTCTGCCCCAGATGAGCTTGTCAACAATCAGTCAGTCATTCAAAAACCAGGTACAGCCACGGTCAACTCTGGAAAGCCAAAGAGGAGAAGTGGTTGTCCCTGAGCCCAGGACAATGTGTCCTGTCTTAGTGTCACGTGAACACAACAGAGCCTAGAGCCTGCCAGGAGGAAAAGACTCCTTTTTTTTTTTTTTTTTTTTGAGGAAAAGACTCCTGAAGGGAATCTTACAACGATGGGTAGGAACCAGGCAGTGGACTGGGAAGAGGAGGGTGGATCAGGGTACTCCAGGATGAAGGACCACAGGGGCAGAGGCACAGAACAGGAACCAGCAGGCAGACACAAAGCCCTTGCATGCCTTTACTGGGCCCAAAGCTCTCCCCGGAGGTCCCGGCCACCGTGTGTACTGGACACATCTGCATGGAGGGCTGCACCTCAAACCCGGCCTGTCCACGTTCCAGCCATTACCCAAAGTGAGACAGTTCAGAGATTTTCCTGATTGCCTCCTTGTAACTATCTTGTTTATGCCTTCATTATTCCCCTGACATTTAATAAAACAGCACTCGACAATGCTATATGGCCCCCTGAAATTGACAAAGTCCTTTCACAATGTGAAGGTGCTTGCCGTCCAGAGAAAAGAACCCAAAGTTCTCACAGCCTCCTTGGGATCACCATTCTCTGCTAACTGTAGGATCTTGGGCATCTCATAATCCATCTGAATCTCCTTCTGCTGCCATAAAATGGGGACCATGACACTGTGTGCCCCACCAACTAACATGGTGTTGTGATCTCTTAGAATCTAATTAAGTGATCGTGTAAAAATGTTCTACAAGGAGAGAGCTATGTTATGTATGCATAAAGATATGTACTTTGGGGTTTTTTTTTTTT